ATGTCAATCCATAATAGGCACCTCATAAATCCTTAGTGTTATAGTACCTCTAAATTTATCTTTCTTAAACAAATTACACTGCACTAATTAATGTATAAAAAAATGATGCAGGTCAAAGGTTATCTGCTTTCTTTTTCAGGTTTCTTGTGGGTAGGGGATGTAACTTGATAGAAGACAATTATTTATTCAAACAATAAACAATATAATTGTTTCTATTCTTTTATAGTAGCTAAATTGTCATGTTTATCAAAAATCAGTTCAAATTTCAGCTTTGAATTCTCATATACATTTTCAAGGAGACTCCCTTGGTGATATATTTTTTCAGATAATTTAAAGTATTTTTTATGCTGCTGGGGCTTATAGGTTACCGTATATATAGGAAACACAGACAATGCATTAGTCTATACCTTAATTTCCAAGAGTCCCTTTCATCTGAAGATAGGTGTGGGTGAGAGGAAGAGACTGTCAGACAACAACACTTCATTGATAAAGGACAATCCTTGTCATAAAACTGGTCTTTTTCTTAAGAAATCACTCACACGTATTAATTATCACCAAATCTGCTGTGTGTGGGTTTGCATGCCAGTGCATGGATCATTTTGTGCTCTTAAATGTGCAGCAAACCAGCCCTTTCAATATTCTGCACAGGATCCACTCCCCTGAAAAGGGCTCATAGCCAGATTAAATTCCACCACCTTCTAAATGCAAGATATGCAGGCAACACCTGAAAAGTTAGAGCAGATCTAAAGCATAATGAGAATAATAAATAAAATAAAAAAACAGCTAATAAATATTCTAGCCTTAGTGCAGAAACCATTCAGGTCTGCTTAAACACACACACCCATATATATAAATATATATATATGCTCTTTTATGTAAAGTCCTTTAACAGAAAGGGAAAAATCATTTTCTTATTTAGACCTCTCTAAAGATAGCCATTTCCATTTATACCACACCTAAATTATATGTTTGTATTTTCTTACTAACATTGTTTTCTGTCTATAATTATCATTTGCATTTTTGTTGCTCATACTATTAATAAATGTTAGTAATGTTGAAGTAGTCTTTACACACATCCACCTCTTTGATCATTCTGCATTTATTTATTATCTTTTGCGGTGCATCACACAAAATACTCATATTGTTTATATATATATATATATATATATATATATATATATATATATATATATATATATATATATATATATATATATATATATATATAAATAAAATGGTACACAGAATGCCCTTTTTTGTGAAATGGTATGAACCATGGAATTTTATTTATTTTGAGATTTACTAAAACAAAAGTACAACCCATGCTTAGCTGTACAATTATGCATCAAGATAAAAATATAAACAGTGTACATCAGTGTTATCCTATTTATTGTTACATTCAAGTTAAACGGTTAAAATAACAACACAAAAGACTTACAATTCGAAAATAAAACAACAACAAAAATATTTTGAAAGGTTATTTAGTACATATATATATATATATATATATATATATATAGTATGTATATATGCACATTGTCATTTTACGCCTTGCCTCCTTATATATATATATATATATATATATATATATATATATATATATATATATATATATATATATATATATATATATATATATATATATATATATATATATATATACTTTACGCCAAGAAATAGCCGAAAACAGCCAAACCGCTCCTATTATTACAAACAGCAAGAAACGCCATTAGCTGATTAGCTGAATGAGAGAGAGAGAAAAAAGCTGACTTTAAACAAATTACGCTGGTTTTTATATTTACCGCACCGACCAAACAACGCCAAACCTCAAGCAGCCCCATTTTAACACGGTGAAAAGCCTCCGTGCAGATTTCCTCCAGCAGTGCGATCCACAGACGGAGCGGTTTGTTTTTCTCCCCCCATAGCCCTCATGCAAAGCCTCCTTTTAAATGTTTCGATTTACTTCTTTTTTAAGTCAAATATAAACCGAGAAAACGCTTCGCTGTCCCACCTATAAGATAAAATTACAGTGTAGATTATTAAAAAAATAATACTATCTAAAAATTCTCCTTCTATGCCGCGTTGCATTTGATTCACGCTTGACTCAAATGGCTTCAGGGCCAATGTGGGTCCGCCTAAGGGGTGCCTTGAAACCGTCCCACTTTATCCCCTTTCATCATCTATCCCGGGACGCCTTGAAACGGTGAGGCCAGTTATTGCTTTTTTTCCCCTCCCCGGACAGCCCAATGCGGACTGGCTAACAGCCAATCACAGTCTTGTTTACAATCCATGACTGACAATGCTCTGGCGCCGTGCCATCCAATCAGATCATCACATACAAAAGTGTGTGTGTGTGGAGGAGAAGGGGGGTTGGGGGCGATTCATTTGTAAACATTAGGAGCAATAACCAAAGTCCATGGTAATAACATATCAAGAGATATTGGGTTTGCTGTCTTGTCTGAATGATTCATTGTAGAGTTTAAACAGATTAGTTTAGAAAGTATTTGTCAAAAGTCCTCCAGTGGTTGAACATTTGGAAAAAAATAACACAGAAAAATTCCTAACCCTTGGTTTGCAAGAATTTATTTATATATATATATATATATATATATATATATATATATATATATATATATATATATATATATATATATATATATATATATATATATATATATATATATTAGGAATTTTTACTGTAAAGTTGGTTTACTGTTAGGAATTTTTACTGTAAAGTTGGTTGAAATGGTTTAACTATCATAATCTTCATGCAATCTTCATGCAAAGAGGTAAAGCTTAATATCCAAGTCAGGAGTGGCCTGAGAGAGGTCGCTTTTGGATCTTGGAATCTTGGAATAGCCCTTTAAGCGTTGCCAGACTACATATATGTTATTGGGGGTTATGCCATAGGATATATGTTAAGTGAACCCAATAAAGTCCAGATCAAACTTCAGCAAAAGGTTCTAAAGTTTAAACAATAAACTTTCAAAAATTACATGAAACTGTTTCTTGTTGGAAGAGAAATAAAAGACAAATAAGTAAAAGCAAAGGGATAATGTCTAGTACTGTTTGTGCAACCAAAATAGGTGTTTGGACACACACACAAAAAAAAATCACAATTTCCTTTTTTTTTTTGCCAATAAAGTAGAGGGTTTATTTCCTAAAGAATTTTCTATCATCTTGTCCAATATGTTCTCCTTAGTTGTCCAAGCTGTACACACTGTGTGAAAATATGGCTGTAAAGCCAGGCCTGCAGATGATGCTATTGCCAGATTTCATATGAAATGAGTCTACTAGGACCTCCCTGGATTTATTCCAGCAAGAAAATAACAAATAGCCAGCCTAAAATCTAAATAAACTTTCCCTATATGGAACTATACTGCCTGAACTAAGTTAGTTGTGCAAAAATATTTTATTTCTCTGAATTACTTATTTGGTTTTGGAATCATGTTGGAGGAACAACTTTGAGACATTAATACTTAGGGAGAACAGAGGTGGAGCTAGATGGGGGGCCAGGGGTGGCCATGGCCACCATTAGCCAATCAATGGCCACCCCTGTGGCCATCCCTACCATTTTTTCCCCTCTAATACAGACGGTGGCAATAGTAATACTCTCAAGTGGAATATTAATTTTAATGTTTCATATATTACTTACTATTTTTCATGTATTCATAATTTCTTGACAACAAAAACACTGCAGTTAATTATACGGTACACATCAATTTACTAATATTAAAGATGATAAGTACAGAATTCCTGCTCTTTTCAGAACTAGATTTTGTGTTATATGGGGTAAAGAGAAAATGATGTGTCTCTTCAAGTCATCTAGGAGTCTTCAGTGAAATCATAGATAAATAACTATTTTAATAAAAACGCATTCAAAAATCAATTTTATGCAGAATGATTATTGATAAAAGTAGGTAAGTAATGACAATGGAAAAGATATTTGCTGCAGAACTCAAATCTGAAAGTATTTTATCCACTATACCTTTTATTTAGAAAGCTTGGATGTTTGAATATATGTTATATTATATAATATATGTCTATTCATTAGCAAAGGCTGAAGGAAAGTATAGTTAGTCTTAACTTTGGCTTGACCCTGAGGCTCTGGCGCCTATCCACTTTCAGCCACCCCTCAGTATACATTGGTTATTGCCTGGCCACCCTTACAAAAATTTTCTGGCTACGCCTCTGAGGGAGAAAGGAGATGCCATGTTTATTATTATTTAGTTGTAGGTTATAGTCAGTTATTTATCAAAATGCATTTGCAAGGGGCTGATTTTCATCCATACTGTGATTGCATTTATCAGTTGTATTAAAACAATTTTAAAATCCTAAGTGAAACAAAAAAAATGTATATGTATATATATATATATATATATATATATATATATGAATTTACATGCATTTCTGAGTGGGCTTGGGCGCCCCTACTGTTCTTGGTGCAAAAAAAAAATAAAATTAAATTCAAAGGCTTAGTTTGCTTATGTCTAGGGCAAGATTTTTTAAACGAATTTGTAGATAAATCAATCAGCCAGTGAATGCATAAAGTATTATTTCTCCCAAAAAACTATACTAAGGATTTTTTTAAAGATTAATATTTTAAGCAGTGCCTCTTACACATTGGTCAGTCTTAAAGCAGTTTCATTTATTTTACCTTTAAAGAATTCCTATAATAAATTCCATCAATATAAAATCTAACGAACACGTAGATATAAAAATAAAAAAAAACGTATTTGTGTTTTGGCCTCTTTCGCCCCCTACCTTTGTGGCACCTCAATGTGCATTTTAAGCTGTGCTCTCATCCAACAAGCTTCGATTGTGAACAATCTCGCCATAAAAAGGCGCTTTAAATCTGGCGCTTTTCCCTCTGTTTAGTGCTGTCAGTCAGGATACCATTGGCTTTCGCTGCGGGCCAATCAGAAGCTGCCGAATCTGCGGGCGGGCGGCACGAATCCATTAACATGCACTTATCCGACCAATGGGAGGGCGTGTTTACCCTGCCCCAGAGACGCCGAGGTGCGCAGTTGCATCGGGAGAGAAACCGCTGCTCGGAGATCCGAGCCGCAATCCAGCCAGGCCGGAAGCCCAGTCCTACTGGCCTCTGCTTTTACTGACTGAAGCAGCAGACTACTACACAGCCTCAGATGGACATATTCCACTCTAGCCACACTAATCTCAGATTCTGATTTTAAATGGGCGTCGCACTTGCACCTTCTGTCCCAGAGTTTTGTGATTATAGAATTTATTATTATGCAAGGATTTAACACACCAGTAAGTAGTAATTTTATATATTTAATATATATATTTTATTTAATTTAATAAAACCTTTTAGGGCCTGGCTCCTCGTTGCGAGATGACTGAGGCTGTGTTTTTGTCCAAACTGCTATTTGTGATAGGCTGTGCATCAAACAGCACATTGTTGCAATTTTCCAAATAACAAAGCAGGATGTGGAAATCCTCAGGAATATATATATTTATTAAATCTATTAATATATATTATTGTTGTTGTTGTTATTATTATTGCATGTTGAAGTGTCTTTAATTAGCTTCCATATTTTAATTTTGAATATTTTCCTACTTGTTTATCTTTAGGTTATTTTATATATATTTTTTTATTTAGATATGATTATAAATACGCGTGCAAGAATTTTTCCTAAAAAAAAAAAACTAATTTTATATTTAGCTAAATTGATGTAGGCTAATGTTAAATTACTGGAGTTTGTTAGAGGCTCCGGGAGGAGAGAGTTTACCGGGGGATCCGATCCAAACGCGGCCGGCGGTGAACCACTCAGAGTCGGGCAGGGACCCGGGGGAGGTCGGCCTCTCCTCCTACGATCGGATCTCTATGTCATAAACTGATTATACACGCGGCTTTCTTCTATATGCATATAATATTCGCTGAAGCTCACATTTTAAAATATAAAATTAATAAGAAAATAAAAAGTCTGATTTGTTTATTTTTTAACGAGGCGTCTCAAACCGTTCGGTTGAAGATGCGGCCGCAACACAAAAACCCCGTAAATTCAAATATTTTGATCGTACTCAAAGCTGCAGCCGCTCATTATTCTCGTAAATGCGTCACTTATTTAATTCCTCACTCTTTGCAGAGGGATCCATGCTGGAAGGAACAGCATGGAGAAAAAAAGGGGGGAAGGTAATGGCCGACTGCAAAGCGCTTCCTCAGAGGGAAGACAAAGGCAGTCCTCCCTGACGGGCGGCCATTCACCTTGGATCCCCCTTTCAGTCTACAAAGCGACGACCTAAATGCTGCAGCAGCTTTTTTTTAAGTTCTCACCTTGCAAATCACATGCATGCACCAAATTAACATTAAAAACCTCTCAACTGAGGTTTGTTTCACCCTTACATTGGGAGAGATTTCATTGTTGCTCTGAATTGCAAGCTGCACTTAGAGACATTGACTGATAATAGAGCTGAAATAAATAAAAAGAGCTCCTTTGATAACAGTCATATGTTACACCATTTATATTTATTTTCATTAATTTAATTTATTGCAACATGATTTGTTTTTCCAATAAAAAAGTATATGACAAAATACTATAATTTGTTTACATTCCCAATAATTTTATAATATAGTCCTTCTGCCTTTTGTCGCTTTATTTCTTAATTAATGGGAGGCTCCTCTGAGGGAATCAAAGTCTGATTCCAACTTTTAACATCAGATAATATTTGTTATTTTTTAATTTAGACTCAATAATACTTTTTTTTTTGTTTTGTGTCAGATGGTGCCACTTTACTGTATTTATTACTCAGTTTTATTACCTGACCTGAAATAGGTCAAGTCAGATAAAGACAGTGAGAGTGCAGTTATTCACATGCACACACACACACACACACAACATACACAGGGTAAATCGTGCAGGGGTGTGCACGTGTGTTTGCATGCAGGCAAACATTCAGAGCATGCCTTTAAGAAGCTGCTGGATCTGCATTGTCAAACGTTTTTCCATTGATCATTTTGATTCTAAATATTTCTCCTCTTATTCACTGGCAGTCCCTTAAACCTTATTAACAATTTTTGTGCTCATTTAGGCATCAATAGATTCGATTCCACCAGATTTATTATCCAGTTTTATTCTTTTAATTTAAACATGTTTTATTTTATTTTTTGCTATTCACATCGTTTAAAACCAGTTTGCAGTAAAATGTGGAGACAGTTTTGGGGTCTAGAGATAACAGAAGCAGGAAAAATCTCCTGCATCAAGAGACAATGGAAGGATCAGAAGGAAGGCAGTGTTGTTTATCTCGGGATGTAGACCGAGCAACATCATTTTAACCCAAATTTATAAACAATAACTTCCCCCCTCTTACAATACAATGCTCTATGATAATTTGTTGTAAAGCATATTTTAATAATAAAAAAGACATATTGTATGTTAATGTGGTCATTGTTTTGGAGAGGTAAGATATATTTAAATGATTGGAATTTGGATTAATCATTCAGAATGATGGAGCAGAATAGATAGAAATATTAAAATGAGATGGTTTGTTTGTTTTGCGTGTCTGTATCTGTGTGTATTTCCCCATATCGGCCTGTGCATCCTAGGCTGATCAATAGAGCTGAAGCTGAGCCTGCAGTGACGCTTCCCTGGCCGCCTGCGTGCGCTCTGACGATTTGCCAAGCAGTTTTCTTCCGAACAGACTGTTTATTGTAATGCAAACAATACGTTGAAGGGTTTGAATTAAAAAATACATTATTTTATCATCTAAGTAAAGCATTTATCAAATATAAAATGCACAGCGTGAGGGTGTTGCATCGTGCTTGAGTTTTGAAATTTTCCCTGGTTGTGACAGCAGCTTTGAATTTCTCTGACAGAAAAGATGATCGGGAGCTGCGCTTTTGGCTGGAGAAGCCTGCGATCGACTGAATGCAACACATAGACAACGAAAGGAAAGGATTATTTTATGGGTTTGCATCCGATTTCCATGACCTTCCCCGTCCGGATTTCGGATTAAAAACTAATTCCGCGGAATGGAAGGACGGGATTTTGCTGCTCCGGCGCACCTCCTTTCGGAGCGGGGCGCCCTGGTGCACCGAGCCGCTTCTCGGATCACTCCCTCGGGCCACAGCTCCGTGCAGCACGCCGGTCACTTCCCACCGGGGAAGTACTACCCGTCGCACATACCGATGGCTCCCCACTCAGGTCAGTGGAATATTCACGGAAGTTTTGATTTATTTCTCTGCTTTTGCTGGGGATTTGTGTTTTATTTCAAATAACAGGGATATGTGTTGTGGAAACATAACAGTAGCCTATGGATGGTGCAGCTCAGGGCTGAATTTTGACAGAAATTCAATGCTTTAACATAAACTAATAAAGGATTAAATACAATATTAAATACAATATACAGCAATGATTAGACGTTTTTGATTGCTCTGAATCTACACTTTAACCTTTATATTGGCAATGATGGCAGCTTTGTTAAACAAATAATGATTTGAATAATCGTTAAATGTCATGCAATAGAAAAAAAAAATCCGTTAAGGATCTGATCTGGTTTTTAGACGCAGCAAAATTGCACTGGTTTCCCTATCTTTTATGCATGCATAAGGATAATCAAATATGTCACACCAGCGCCTCCACTTAACCAAAACCTCCATAGGTCAAACATTGAAGGTATACAGCTTGGATAGAAAGCTAAGGATAACCTGCAACGCAATCTAATGGGGTTGTTAAATACAAGCAATGCTGGAGAAAAAAAAAAATCCAATACTGAATTTTGCTTTGAAGTGTCTGGGTGCAAATGTGTTCTCAGTGCATGCATCAGGTTTAACAAGTGACGTAGGGATCATCTGAACCCAAATGAGCACGTTTACAAAAAAAAAAAAAAGAAGATGCATAAGAAAATACCCTCTAAGCTTATGGACTGCTAATTTATCCGGGGAAAACCTAGGAAAGGCAACTCCTGCATATCTTGAAAAAAAAAAAAAAAAACACATTATACATATGTTTTCAAGTTTCAAAAACATTTTATTACATCAGTAATACATATAGCAAATTTATTAAAACTTGTATATAATATATAAAACAGTGTTAACAGAGGTTGTAATTGATTTATTTTGTAGAATATGTGTTAAGTCAAAGCAATAGCATTAAGTGCATTAAACAGTTTTGCTTCAATATACTGCTCTGTGATAATATGCTAATGAACATTCTGAAAGGATGCTTATGATACATCTGAGGAGTCCTCAGGTCTGGGGAACAAAACCAAATATATATTTAGCCCAAAGTAACTATATATTTTGTAACTGTTGCCAAATGAAATATTTATGCAGGTAATTCTGTTGAGAAATCCATGCACCTCCTATATGTATTTTGTCTCATATTTCAACATATTTTAGGCATCCGTTTATTTATTCTTCATTTGACACTCTTTGAAGCTTGCTCCCCCATAAGGAGTTATGAGGTTTGGAGGTAATTCCAATATATTTAATGTAATGTTGAGGAGAATATACAGGTGCTGATCACCATTCAGCTTGCATTACACATGGTTGCTTCACATGTAGAGCCTGCTGCGTATGTGCATTTTCTTTTCTCTGTGCAGCTGTTTTTTTAATTTCTCTTTTCTGGAAACGTGAAGGAGGTTTTTTGCATGGTGGAGGTGCTTACACTGATCAGATGGTGTTTGCCTATTATTGAACTACGTCAACATGCAGACCTACCGTCCAAATGTCATCACCGCTCAATGAGCAGCAGAGGTGCTTTATTGTTCTCCTTGTCTCGTCAGCAATGCATGGGAGGTACTGAGAGGAAGCCCTAATATCCTGCAGATAAATATGATTTAATTCTTTGCATTTGTTTTCTTTTGACTGAATTAACTTACAGAACAGCCTGATATAATTTTGCATGATCTCAAAACCTGTAGGTTCTCTGAAAATTATTTTGCTATTACGGTTAGCTGATTTGCAGTATTTGATTTATTGTTTTAATATTATTTGAAATGTCAGGCATGTCATAATGCAAACGGGCGGATGAAAGATGAAGGTTAATTTGAAATTATTCATGATTTTCATTTTTAAGGTGGTGCTGCAATGGAAAAATGGATGGCTCCTGTTGAAACAGAATGTTCCTTTTTGCAAAGTCTTATTTTAGCAAACTAAACATGTTTAATGTAAAACTGACCATTTCTTCAATTGAACATTTTTGAAATAAAAGCAGTGTATCTAATTTTTATTTATTTTTTATTTTTTGCAAATTGCCTTTTTTTCCAAGGCAATTATTTAATTGTCTAAGAGTAATTAAATATACCATAATTAGACTTTCCTGGGTGATATCAACTTTTCTTTAATAACTAACCTGCCAGTTCCAATTTTGACCAATGTGCCATTTTTAATTCTTAGGAATAATATAAAACAGCAAAAGACAAAACAAAAGTCAAAAATTGCTGCAAGTTCTTTAATAGAAATCATAGTTTTTAAAAGATGGAATTGAGGAGCGTACATGTTCCACAAAATTGTGGAAGTTCCTAGTTGTAGCACGTTTAATGAATAAAAAAATATCTGCTTTCTTGGTATTTCACTTGCTGATCAATGACCAGAGTCTTTAGAATGTGAAAAAAGTGAAGGAACTATAAATTATCTAAAATTCTGCATCAAAGCACAAAACTCTTACCATTTTCATTACCAGCTCATCTATCTTATGGCATTTTTGACTAATTTCTCCCTCATTAATATTAGCGACTCTTAAGTTTTAGGAAGCCAGACTGGTTGAAGGCTGTCCATCTTGATTGGCCATGTCATTAACGTTCTTTTGACTGACCTGTGTTCAAGCAACATAATAGCACAAACTGTGCGTGGTGTTTGCAGAGTGTGTTGAGTTTCTCTGCATTTCCCCCCCTTGGGACTAACTTGCACACTAGTTCACATGAATACTTTACAAAGACCATGAATATTTCAGGGTTGATGTAAAAATGCTCTGAGAGGCAGGTTTCTGATGTGGCTCCTTGAAAAGCCTCGTCTGACTTTGCAGCGGTATTTATCGTGAGCGCTTCCGACACCTTTTTGCTGTTGAAAACAATAACGGTAGTTGCAACACTCTCCCTTGGCATAGTTCCCAGCAGGGTTGCAGAATTTTAGCATGGTATGGGAGAAAATATTCTCCTTTCTTTCTGTTGCACAGACTTGTGAGTTTGGCGGTAATTAGGCTACAGCTGGTGCAAGCAAGCAGTTCCACCGTCGTACTCTCTGAACCATGTTGCTTAGAACTGGTTGAGATTCTGTCAGTTCCCATTTGCTTCTGTCCATCTTCACCTACTACAAGTCGTTCATTTGTAATGCACGGCAGGTGGTCGATTTATAGTTTGCACTTGTACCGTGTTCTAGGAATGTGACATTGGAGCAACTCCTCTCTTGGTGCACTCTCTGAAGCAGCAAGACCTCTAAATGCACCTAATGCTGCCTAATTCAGCCAGCTACTTTACAAGGACTTTGAAATAGTAATTTTATCTTCTGTTGGCTCCAGTGCAAAGTTGGAGCCAGGCTGGTCTTTGGCTGTGAAGCTCAGATTCTGATTTTGAGCTGTCAGTGGACATAGACACAGTGGGGCTGTCTTCTACTTCTGGCATTTATTGCATAGGGTTCATCTTTCAGCCATATTGTTCTGATCAGGCCACTCCAGCTGAGGTGTGGCTGTGTGAAAGCAGCGTGGGGGTTCAGGGCTCTGCCCTAAACACCCCATATAATCAAAGGTCATATTTGTGTCATCTTCCTTGCTTGGCCTCCCCTTCCTTTACATCTGCTCTTCTCCCTTTCCATAAGCTGTCCTCCCTGTCTCTTGCCCTCCAATTTTTCAGTCTCCTTTCTTTCCTGCAGGAAGACCCTTGTGTCTGGTAAGCAGTGGTTTTCCTGCCGCTTCTGTTTTAGCTACCCCTCTCTGCCTCTGGGCCATTGTTGCAGACCCCAGCTTGGTGTGTGTTTTACAGCTGCTGTTAAAGATAAAAAACAGTCCCTTCCACCCCCTTTATTGTTTACTGGTAGGATGTCCCTGTCATTCTGTTGGTTTTTATGTCCTAGCTGGATGTCTAAGAGCACCCCCCTTCAAAGGTTTGCAGTTCTGTATACCTTCACCCAATTTCCCCCCCAAAGAGGAATAAATAACTTTACAGAGAGTTTTATTGAATGTGTCTCATTGCAGGACTGTCCCATGACCCAGTGATTGTTGAGAAGACCCTTCAAAGACAAACACAGGTGTCTCTGGGGGAGTTAGCGAAGGGCTAGTTACAACCAAGGTCTTTAAAGGAATAAAACGTCATTGAGTGGTTAACGGTTGTTTCAAAGAAAGGGAGGTCTTTGCTTCAAGGCCTTGGCACACATGCTTTAAAAGCACTTAAAAGATTGTTCCACAGCTCTGTTCGGCTATATCCAACTTATGGCTTTCAGGACCCCGGGCTGCAGTTTGAAGGAGTAGTTCCGTTTTTAGGATCTAAAAAGTACTGTCAGTAGTAATTTCCTGAACTGTAATAGTCAGGCATCATCTGCGTGAGTTTTAAGAAAGGATAAGAAATTCTGTGAGAGATGAGGTGCTATGAGCTAGATAGGAGCCTTATGGTGTGTTCCAGTTACCCCAGAAGTCAGAAGTTAAAGCTTAGAAGGACTTCAGAACTGAATTAACAGTCTTCCAGTTAACTAAGTCAAAAAAGGTTGGGATTCCAATATGACAATGCTAAGAAAAGCCTTTATTTTGTATCACAGCTTACTGTAGTTCATACAAGAAGCTGACATATTGGATCTGAGGTTGACCTTAAAAAGCCTTTGGAGTGGTATGTCTGACTTTGCGGCGGTTTTTCCAGTTCTAGAACTGAACTGGAACCCAAAATTAGCCTATGCTGATTTCAGCTTCTCCAGCTGAAAACTTTAATATCATTGGGATACACCACTATATTATTGGACATTAAGAGTGCTTTCACACCAGGACCATCTGGGAGAGAAAGGGGAGATAACTGCTGAAACATTCACACCTTTATTTGATTCATGTTAAAACCAATTACTGGACCTAGCTGTTTGGACAACACCATGAACTTATGACAACTACTGGTTTGGACCACTGTCACAAGTTGCCCAGTATGAGGTGTATGCCAACCAGCAATGTATCTAGTCTTGTTTTTGTGTATGTAAGACAAAAAAGCTGCAGCAAAGATAAAAATGGCA